CCCCCCCCCCCCCCCCCCCCACCCGCTCGGAAAACTGTGATTTTCGGAAAGTCGAGTGTCGGAAAGAGGACCGATAAAAGTGTATAATATAATATTACAGTAATCTATAGACGATAACGAGCACCATTCGTTTGCGGCGCGAGGACAGGAAAATGCCGTTTGCTCGTTTTCCCCTTTGATAGTAATATAATATGACGAAGCGAGTGCACCGGACACGTGATTGTTGGTGTTATTCATTTCCGAGCACGTATGATTGCAGCGAACGTTATAAAGACTTTAAAGTTCAAATCGCGAAAACAAATGATCGCACCTCATCTGGTATATACATGTTATGTAACGGACCCATAAAATACTATGCAGTATTTTATAATAATACAATATCATTAATATTATGTAAATCGATATATTGTATATTATTATAGTATAAGCGAATCGAATTACTAAAAACCCACGCTGTTCAGTGATATACCTGGTTATACATTTATGGCAACCGTCGAGTCAATATCAATACGCGAATTAAAAAGCCGGTAAAACATATACGACGAGACGGATTCAATTTTTTCTTCTACATCTCGAAGTTTGCGTAATATAGCATACACGTTGACGGTAAAACAAGCGTAGAAAATAAACCACCGTGCCATTTTAATTGCTGACCTCCGCGGTTCCGTCATTGCCGCATTTACGACGGTGTTCTAACTATACATTAGAACATTTGTATGATACTATGATACACAATCAAGAGTTTATAATATTTTGGTTCTAAGGAAATTTAATTAGTGTACCAGTGCCGCTTGTTCGAAAATCCTATATAAGTTATGAGTGAGAATATTTTTTACGCAGTTATTAATTATTATTATATAAGTACTACTGAACATTTAATTTTAAATCAAACGCATTATCATAATAGTAATGTGATGTCGCGGTGCAGGTAGGCTCTGTGACTATATTCAATAGAGAATTTTACCAGTTTTTATTTGTAGAATTCGTGTTCGCATTAATGTACAGGTGTAGGCACAACACCGTCTCGTGCCGAGTTGATACTATGTTATATTTTATGTTGCACAGCCATACAGTCTAGTCTGATTCCCACCCATTATATGTATGTATCTTTTTCGTTTTTTTCTTTATACGGTACCATGTACAGGGTGCACACTATGAAGTAGGGAATCGATCAATATAACGATATTATAACACATTACCATATATATAAGAATTACGAATTTCAATGTTGTATGCAATGAATTATATTGCATTACGATGCTAAATATAATATTAAAAAATCATTTCGTTTTGATAATAATTTTTAAACCTTAGACAGCATGATAATAATACAACGTCGTGTAATGAACATGCGGAGTTTTCTCACGTTTTTCTGACTTCCCGAACATTCCTGTGTCGTGAAATAAAAATTCTTTTCGATTTCCCGAAAACCGTTTTCGTGCGCGAGCGTAACATAATACGACGTGCGGCTATTAAACTGTCGGCCCTATAGTGGACGGTGGACGATTAAAATCGTGTATCACGCAAATGATCGGGGGGAGGGGGGGGGACAACCTGCGTATAGATCTGTCGCAGAGAGAGGATCGTCGTAAAAGACGCGAGCGGGTAATCCGATACGAGGGCGTGCGCGGGTCGGAGTGGATTTTTTTTACATTTACCGCACACTATTATATTATGTACCCACCTATAATGCTTTGGACCGCTTTCGGTGAATCCCGTAAATTATTATTCGAGGATAAAATATGATAACATCTTTTTAACTCGATAACCGTCGCTGCAGTTAGTAACACACACTCACACCATAACATATATTACGCGCGCACGAGCAAGCGAGTTTAGGTGTACGCAAACACACACACACACACACACACACACCTGTATAAAGCCCCGAAATTGTTGTAACATACCACTCGCGGGTGGTAACGATACTACACCCGGGGTCGTCGTCGCAAAGCGGTCACCAAATCATATAGACGATGGGACAAAACGACAAGAGTCGTAAAACGCGCGAACGGCGTAGAAAATAATAATACTAGAATATACTGAATATAGTTAATGTTGTTCATTATATTTTACATCACTATGACTTGACTTAGACATGAGGGTGTTTTTGATGTCGAAACACCCTTCGGTGGCCGTCGTTTTGATAGAAAAAATATACTCGTATAGTAAAGATTCAGATTTCTACAAAATAAATTGTCATATTGTGTTTCTTGATTTCGTTTTTGATAACTGCAGCTATAATTAATACGAAGATTCATATTAGTGAACATGTACTATACAATGAAGAGCGTGCGAAGTCCTCACGTGTTATGACTAATGATTACGTTTAAATATAAAATTAAAACACCCACCAAGAAAAATATCACAAATGGCTATACGCTCCTACTATTTACGACTTCTATCTGGTACAACTAATAATAATATCAATGAATAAATACAATCTCAAAATTAATATGTTTTTATAAATTTTACGACGCTTCGGCGCGGCGTTCGAGTGTTTATATAATATACTAATAATTTATTATCTATAAAATACTATTTAATGTGTGGCGTAAGCGGCAAAACGCATATTATTATTATACAGTGTCAACCATACAATGCCGATTTGGTTTTTGGATCCCAATAGAATAAATCACGGGAGGTTGTAGAGTTTTAATAATAATAATTGTCAAGCAACGTTTTTAATTATTGCAAAATAATAATATAATTTTGTACATGATGTATATATTGGTGGAATACTACAATTTATTGAACACACATGCACGGTATTATAAACACCTGTACAACGAAAGGTAATATGAACTATGAAGTATACAGTTAGAAGCAGTGCAAGTAAATTATTATAGACATTACTGGAAAATAATTGTGATATTCTTTAAAATCAACTAAAATCTTTGTTGTGAGCGATTCGTGTAGTGTTTTCTCAACTATAAAAAGGATAAAAATGCGCAATCACGATGTTTTTTTTTGAAGGTAAAAAGGTAAAAATTGCGCTATTGTGTTACGTTCATATTATAATATATATATATATATCTTTTGGCGGTACGCAACGCATTATTAGAGTATATTTTTTATATATATTTAAGACGGAATCTGTATAAACACACTCGTAATACTATAACAATGTACAGACATGTAGCCTACACCTGTATTATACCTATCAGCATAATATTATAATAATATATGAAATATGACGTAAGACTTTTCTGCGCGTCACTCGGGTTAAAGGGTTCCCCCCATAAAATATTAAGTTCTTTAGCTCTTATAAAATATTACACTTGAGTACATTACACGGGCACGGGCAATTATTAATTAAACGCGACGTACGTACAACACAACGCCTAATCCGATTGATTGATATGACGTGTGCGCAGTATTTGTACCACACGGGTAAAATCCTATCTCGGGCCTCGGTAGTACAATGTTAATAATTAATAATAAAATAATATTAAGAAATCTCTGTGGAGTTCGCTTTCGTTCGTATCATAATAATACTAATAAACACGACTCTAGTTACAACCCACCTCCCCCCCCCGTCTCCCACCAGCGGTCGCGGTATTCCGATAATTCCTATGGGTATAACGACAGAACTTTGAAGTAAATCACTACATGACGGGGACGGACTTCACACCCCTTAGACTCTTCCGTTGATCCACCATAACACGTTATAATGATGGGGCTTATAAATGTAAACAATTTAAAAGATTTGTTAATATCCGTTCAATCTGTATCGATTAGTTATCATTAGTCATTCGGCTCGTCACTGTATATGAACTGTGAAACTTACGGAGACCGAAAGCAGTGACTTTGTAGTTTCTGTCTTTGTACAACATAGTGGAACATAACAATTTAGAAGCTTATTTTATTTGCAATGTACCAATTGCAGGTCTAGGAAAGCGATAAGAATTATGAAAACATGTATGAATTTGTCGTTAAGCAAACATGAGTGTTGAGATTGGCTTTCCCACATTTTTGATTTTTTCTCTACAATTAAATATGATATCAATAAAAAGCGCTCAATTAAATAATGCTGTAATTACCAATTATGTATACTCGTAAGTACAAATTGTACTTAATTATTATACATTTGAAAGTAAATTTTTCAAATTCTCTCCCCTCCCGCCAATACAACTCAGTCAAGGGGATCGCAGGAGATTTGGTCTGACTCTGGACTCAAAGCAAATAGATAAGCCGTCCTACTTGCGTATTGTAGTGCAGAATATATACATAGATAGAATATGTGTTATGGTAGCTTATTAATAAGAATATTTTTTCTCGACAATAAAAAGCGAGCTCACTAAAAGATGTTTCGAATGAAAAATATCGTATGCATTTAATACCATTCAACCGCAGCAGTATAGGTATATGTAGAATTATTATAGCAAAACTATGGGGATATTATTACCTGTGATCCCTGAGGTGATCCTGCCTCCTGAAAGCCTTTTTGCAAATGTCGCACGAGTACGGCCGCTCGTCCGTATGAGTGCGCTCGTGTATGAGAAGGTTGTACGACTTGGTGAAGTGTCTGTTGCAAAACCGGCAGATGAACTGTTTCTTGGGCCGAGGGACGGGTCCGTTGTTGTTGTCCTGGTAGTGGTGCAGGTGTCGCGATGAGGCGATGGGTTCGTCGGCGGCAGTAGCCGTGACCAGAGTATCGTCGTCGAGTGTCGTGATGCAGACGGATGCGGTGGCGGCGGTCAACGAGGCGGACAGCCTGTTTGCTCTGGGAGACAGGCCGGACAGCTCTTTGGAGAACGCCGGTAGACGGCCTCCTCTACTCGAGGTCACTACGATGGCGGCCGTGGCCGCGGCTTTTGCTGCACTTCCGCTACCGTCCACAGGCGTCGGTCTGTCGTCGTGATGGTCGTGATCACTGTCGTCGTCATCTTGGTCGTCGAGGTAGTCGTCTCCGGCGCCCAACGAGGACGGATTGCCGCTTTTGCCTCCGCCTCCGCTGTCGTCGTCATCGTTGTCCAACACTTCGTGTTTGACCATCA